GTCCCGCTTACGTATTACACCGCGGAACGGGTAAATAGTTATATGACTATCTGAATATTAACATTTTCACGTGTACACGTGACAACTGCGAGTGAACAGGTCGCATCCGAATACCGTCATTTACATCGCGCCCTGGATCACCTCGTCATCACCGTTTGAAGTATCTTCATTCTATTGCGTACAGTTGAACCGCAGAGCCGTACCGAGCCGTTTTTTATTCCAAGGCAGAACTGAAGCGATACACCCCCTAGGTTGTAGGGTTTTCACACACACAGCTTTGAATATCTATAATACGATTCGAAAAATTTGAAAAATTGTAATTAGGTTTTTAGCAATACAAGAAATAACATTTCTTAAAAAAGTTAATTATTTAATATTTTTGCGCACTCTCAGCTTCATGGCGCCGAAGGCAAGTGCTTCGCTCGCCTTACCCTAGTTACGGCTCTGGTCGAACGATACGAGCACACGATGGTTTTTTTTTTCTTTTTCGTTACGTCGTATTGTTTTCCGAAATGCGATCGGGGTACGTAGAAGTCGAATAGAGATATGAATCGCTAACTGCAGAAACGGGACAAGTCCATTTTTATCAAATTTGATTTTATTATCATTTTTTGTTAAGTACGCGTAAATACATCGTTTACTGTAGAAAGGAGTCAAATCCGACTATCCAAACGCTAAATATAGCGTTTGGAAATTTCACTTTACTGCAGAAAGGGAACATATCATGTTCAGTTTTTCATTATTCCTGAAAAATTAGGAAAAGTGGACTTGTCCCGTTTCTGCAGTTAGCTATTCATATGGTCTTGCGCATAAAATTTGATTTCGTTAGACAGCCATGCATATTATAATAACGATAATTACGTTATACGCCTGCAGGGTGTCCGGCGTCCGTTTGTGTACGACCCGCGCGCGCGCGTACATATTATAATAAATACGGCGTGCTACGAATGGGGAACACGCACGTCGTGTGTAACCCGAACGTACAAGCGGTGCCGCGAATCGACGTAGGTGTGGTGCGCGCGTGAAAATCAAGTCCACTTCGAATAACGGGTACACGTGATCTTCGCGGGAAGCGGTCGTACGTAAATATTTGTATAAAAGTACGTAAATAATGTCGCGAAAGCGGTCATACGGTGGGTCTCCGGAGTCGTTTGTCGTCGTACACGTTAACGAAAGGGTTGGGCGGCGGGCGGTTTCGCATTATAATAATTAATCAGGCGAACACCCCTGAAACGACGTGTTAAGACATCGTACGCGCAACAATGCACGTCAACAGAAACGGCACAACGTAATGCTCGTGCGACACACGCGAAAATAATCTCGATTTGCACGTGTCAGAATCGCGTTACGGGTGTGTACGCGCCCGTGATATTGGGGGTGCTGAAACGGCTGAAAATAAACGGTATTTAACTGTGATCGCTATAGATTATATGGATCTGAAAAGAAAAAAAACAGGAGCGCTACATTTGAACTCAGGGATACTAAAATACCTATTGTGCCCCCCTAGTTGCGCTTTGGTCACACGTGCTGCTCGCGGGGCTGTCCAAAGCTCACGGCTGCCGAACACGAAAACGGCGCTAACTTTTGCGTTGACTTATTCTTCCCTGATGCCCCGGAACCTCTACGTACCTCTACCGTACGGTCCGTGTCGTTTTTGCGTTGACGCGCGACCGAAACGATATGGATCGCGGTCACTCGGACGGCATGAGAAGAATAAACCGCTCGTGCAAAAAAGAAAAAAATGTTGACTGCTTGAAATCGGCTTCCCGACGGCTACACGTTCGCGTGTTCTATCGTTGACGCGCTTGTACACCGACACCAGTTCGCGGTCGTCCGTCGACTTGCGGCGGACAGCGGTGCGCGAGCCAAACGGTGAGAACGGCAACATGCGCGGCACAAGATTTCGATTTATTGCCGGTGTACGGACACGTTCGTGGGAAAAATCGTCGAGTGCGATTTGTATTCGTGCGTGTGTTTACGGTTTGTGGAAGAAGGAGAAGAAAAAAATAAAAACTAAAGTGTCATAACGTATTTTAATACGACGACGACGACGGCAGCAGCATCGGTAAAGATATTACCGCGGAGGATAAAAATTACGGGACACAATATTATAACACGGTCGCACACACGACGACGGATGGTGTGTGAAGAAAAGATTTGGAGGAAAAAAAAACGCACCCCGCGGGACGCCCGATAATTTACACGAAATTACCGAGTAAATACCAGTTTCACGTGATGTCATTATACGAGCAACGCGCGCGCCGCGGCCACCAGTGGGCTTTGATTAATTGTTATTAAAATTATCGCATTGTGCGCGTACGATATTGAATATTATATATTATTATGTGACTTACGCGTTTTTTTTTTTTTTATTTATTTTTTTTACGTTTTTCTCGCCCCCTTCCCCGAACGCTTGTCCGTCGTTTTTTCAACGTGATTTAAGAAGCGGTTCGTTCCGATATCGGTGTATACTTAACGCGCGGTCCGGTAACTCCTCGCGCACGAGATGCACGTACATTATAATAATTTACCCGATGGACATACTACACTTATATTTTATAGGAAACAAGCTTTTTTCCAAACTCGCGTCACGCGCAACAAGTGGACGCGATATAAACGTATGTATAAATTATGTAATTCCTGCGTATAATATAATATTATCTGTTCGTTATATTCGATTTCTGAAAATACATCGATACGTGTCCGGAGCAACACGAAACTGCAATCCCAATGAAACTGACCGTTTTTTTTTTCACCCGTAAATTATTGTTATTATGCACATTTCTCTTGCTTTAATCGTCTCGATAATAAGATAATGTATAGGTATATTTATATAAGCGCTATATACGTTGTATCACAGTCTTTAAGCCGGAACGGGTCTCCTAGATGTAAGTCCTATTTTCCGATTTACGGATATAGGTACTTAAATCATCCGTTACTTTTTCTTTTGAATTTTTTGTACGGTATAAAAAGTTCACACTCGTAGTCGAGTAATTTAAATTTAATCGCAAGCAGTAAATGCTCCATTTCAACGTCAACGGACGGTGTAGCCATTTGCGAAAATACATATGCAATATCTATACCTGAATACCTTCGTATAATAAACATACAGGACGATTATCCCCTTATTATACAACTGCAACGGCAGCAGCTACCTGTAGTGGTCGTTCATACTTTTGAATATAAGAGAATCTTGAAAGTAGTACGACTAAATCGTTCTATACAAAATATATGGTAAAATGTATAAATAACTGAAAATAAATATGATTTTATAATGTTATTTTTTCTGCCAGGAGTGAAACAATAAATCCAGGGGTTTTATATGTAGGTATACACATTATACACGTTCGTTCTCTGTTGTATTAATATTACAATGTATTCAAGGGTACGCACGTTTATACATTATTATAGTTTACCAGAGCTACATAGTTTTGAAAACAACGAGAAATGTTGTAGAAAAATATTTACGTGATTTAATGATATGCAATCTGATTTAAACCGCGTAATTAAAGATAAATCAATGTCTATATGAACAAAATATGAAATCTGTACACATGGATCATGAATCTGAATGTATATATTTGTTGTTGAAGATTTGTACAACATTGTATTATATACTGGTATGTATTTTTTTTTTTTTTTTTGCAGTCGACACAAAAACATTAAACGCATTGTTTGAATGACGAGTATAATACGACATGTACACATTATTGTATGATTTTATTAAAGTCTTCTCGCGAACGCACGTTTACGGAGTGAAGTATTTTTCTTCCGTCGTAACATTATTATTATTATAGTGTATCGTTTATTGTCAACCGCGAAACATCCTTCGGTCGTCGCGTTCACAAGTTTCTAAACAACTCGCCGTGTACACGTATAAGCACGTTGCGCCGTACATTGTTTGTCGGAAACGTCATTCTTCGCGTACACGAATATAATTTTAACGGCAGCGTGCGGCGAAAATGAAAATAAAAAAATCCGAATCCTGCACGTGGCGGCCGGTGGCATGGACGTGTATATTATCCGAAAGAGTGCGGCCAAAACACGTTAAAACTGATTTTCGTATCGGTCAACCGAGAGCGCAACACCGGCCATTTATACGTACCTACATAATACGGGGTTTACTACGCGCGCGCGCACGCATGTTTTTATTGCTCCGATTGTTGGCGGCGGCGCGACCGTGCCGGGAACAAAGAAATATAATATATTAATATTATAACTTAATAACCCTTCGGAAAAGTTTTGAAAGATTATAGAAAAAAAAAAAACGAAAACGGGACAAAAACGTATACTACACGTATAGTTTTCTCTCTCTTTTTCTCGTGCAACGCGCATACACGTAATATACATACGTTTTTTAGACGCGTCGTAAACACGTCCTCGTCCGAAACGTTAAACGTACGACCCGTGACCCCCGCGTGTCCTTGCGCGGCTTTTCGGCACGACCCGAGCGCGTGTGTGCGCGACCGAACGGACGCCCTGCCGTTTCACGAAACGAGAAGAGAAGAACGCATTTTTTTTTTTTTTTTACGTTATTGTTTCTTCGCGCTCTCTTCTCGCTCTTTCTCTCTCGCCCGCCGTGTGTCTCGTTCTCCGCACGCTACTCTTCGGGTGTTCGCTCTTTTCCATCCTTTTGAAGCCGACCCGACTCCGTGCACCGACGGCAGCGGAGATGATGAATCGTTTCGGGGCACCACCCCTTTTGGGTATACGACCATATATATATACAAATATGAACGGCACGCGGACGATATACTCGCTCGCAGCGCCCACACGTATAAATGTATGTGTGCGTGCGTGTAAAATACGTACTGTCAATAACCGTGGTATAATATATATATATTACTCATTTGGGGATATATTTTTTCGCAGTAGAGAACGTACAATTGCTTGTACGATATACCTTATACGGAATATACCTATATTTTGATAAACATACGTGTACATACTTAAATGGTGTTCGTGTGTAGTTTATTGATTTTTTTTTGTGTCCACTGCAGGCGGTACGGCAAAAAGTGCAATGGTTGTGCCCAGGGAATATCGCCTACTGATCTGGTGCGGAAAGCCCGGGACAAAGTTTTTCACCTCAACTGTTTTACGTGCATGATATGCCGGAAACAGTTGTCTACCGGCGAGGAGCTTTACGTGCTGGAAGACAACAAATTCATATGCAAAGACGATTACATATCTGGCAAGAATGGGCAAGGTACGTTCAGTTTTTTTTTTTAGTGTTATTTGTACATTTATTTCCGTCTTAAACCATACGCGTGTGCCAGTGAATTTCTGTAAAAATATATTTGAAACTACAAACGCGATATTCGAGAAACCAAAAAAATATTAGAGAAAATCAATGTCGTGATACTTAAGAATTATAGTTTTTTATAGTTTAAAATATTAACTGAAAAAAAAAATTATAAACCGAATAAGAATTGCATTTTAGTACATATGCTTTTCCCGATTCCCTTCCTCGCCGTTGCTCTTTCCCATGATTTCTACTTCCAAAGTTTGTTTCCTGTCTGAAAACAGGGTGCATAACGTGGTTACCGGTTACTCGACGCGCAAAACTCTGTTGCTTTATATGTATATATATATATATATATATATATTCGTCTCTACCCCTACCGATTACACGGTCGCGAATAAACACGATATATATGTATATGCTCGGCACGCACGACAACCCTTCGCCGCGACCCGTTTTGCACGCATAACTAGATTTCCGTTGATGAGTTTCAAATCGAGTTTCCCAACTATGGAAATGAAGTTCCGGCTGCCACCCCCTCAAGCCAACATCCGCCCGAAAACGTAGTATCCAGCAACTATATACCACCATTGCTGAGCGCGTTCGCGTGTAGCATTTCAATATTTCATAAATACAGAACTGCGCTCGTTTTGCGGGAAAACCTTATAGCCCACGGTGTACGTGAGGTTCTTAAAACGCAGTTGTGTGTACGTAATACATGATATATTATTGTAGTATTGCAGGTCTCCACGCGACAGACCTAGTTTAGCCGATGTTTATTGCCACAGCGTATTCTGCTCCGTGTGATAGCGCGTGTAAAATTAAAAAATAAACTTTTCTTAGTTTGGTTACGAACAGAAATTATATGTTATGTGCGTATACCAATTCACGTGCGCCTACATTGTAATCGGGTACCGCACGTAAAGCAAAAACCTTTGCGACCGAATATAAATAGTGCGAATGTCGACGTACCATTGTAAAAATTGTTTCCACGTATTCGAGAAAAAAAAATGTGCGTTTAACCGCAAAAGTCGCAAATATTTTGATTTAAATACTTCTGGTGCGTTCGACTATAACTGTAAACCGGTTGTGTGTTGAGTCGAGTGTCAAGGTCTGTTGGTGTGCTGATGATAAAAAATGAAAATAATGGTTTAGCGCACACACGCGCGAACCGGTCGAATTGCAACTAGGTGTATATTATCGTTACAGGAAAATACTTGTTCACTTGTGGGGGATACTTGTGTATTATAATGTATTCGCGTGGGACAATTCGTTGCCAACACTAATATTCAGATATCGCCGAATGCGATGGGGACAAAAAAACAGTTACCAACAAAAATATCGGAATATCGAGTTGGAATAACTGTAGCGCGAACACTGATGTGTTGTGTTTCGTGTAATTGTGGGATGTAAAACGATAACAAAGTATGATTGAACTAACGTATTCGGGACGTTTGTTTTCCTAGACGTTCTGTGGGGGTGTACCTAAGTATACCGATAGGTATAATATGTGCAGTGAAAATGAAAAAAAAAGTAAAAGTAAAAAACAATATAATTACCGGCAACCCGTAACGGAATTATAACGAACTTACAAAATATTCACCGCTTTGAAACGGAAAACCGGTTATAAAAATAAAAACGTACGTCAAAGTGTCTCCGTTAGTATCTACCAATGTTCGTGTAAAGGTGATGGAACCGTTGGTCGGCCGCAAACGACTTTTGGCGGCGTGTCGTGCGCGTGCGTGTACGTGCCTCCGTTCTGTAGTTTTTTATATGTTTGCGAAAAATCAAACTCAACGAAACGCCACTTACGGGTACCGGTGTCGAGTTACGTACGCAACATCTATATTTCTATGTATCTAGTCACCCTTTGGAAAGTAAAAAGCAAAAAATTACGTTCGACGGCACATAAGACATACGCGTATTCAGGGCCGTATCTAGAAATTCCAAAACATGTATATTATAATTTTTATAGAATTGAGATTTTAACCCTTGATATTTTCAAGAGTTAATAGAGTTCAAGAGTCATATTTTCATATGATATCATGATATAAAATTAAAAGCGGTCAATGGTTAATTGGAGCCGAAGTCATTTTTGACCGAAAATATTTATGTTGGTATTAAAAATGAATAATTATTTTAAACATTCGTAAAACATTGAATAAATCTCGGGGGGGGGGGGGTACGGACACACCCCGGACTCTCCCCCACCCTTAGATACGGCCTCGCGCGTGTTACGAAAACCGTGACGCCGCTAAAGCGCGCGCGGGGCGCGTTGCGAGTATCGGAATTTTCTTCGTTTCACGTAACGCGCACGGAACATCGCGCCGCCGTACACGTGTAAACGCAGCGCACGCACGCGCGTCGTACGCGTACGGTATGTGCACGGTGAGTTAAGCAGGCGCCAGAAATTTCGTTATAGTCTGCGGCGAGTGGTAGCCAAGAGAAGACGGTGCGCAGCGTAATAATAACACGGTAGTAGTGCGTGCGGTACACAACAATATAAACGGACGTGTACACGTACTTGTCGCGCGCATTTAACCCGGGCGGCGGAGGAGGGAAACGTTACGGACAACGAGAGAGAGAGAGAGACGAACGCGCGTCATGGCGTACACGCACTCGCATTCCCCGCGGGTTATTTTTCCCGTGGTCGCGCGCGCACCGTGTAATCCCGGGTACCGCGACGGTTCATTATTATTATTATTATTATTATTATTATTATTATTATTATATTTCACACATACGTGCCGTGCGTGCGCGTGCGTCCGACCGCGGTAGCCGCACCGATATGTGTATCGAATATGTGCTACGGGCCACCGCTGCATTGTGGTGTTCCATTGTTGGCCGCACGTATATTCCCTGCCCGTAACGTATTGTACCGCAGCGGAGAGCCAGAGAAATGTGTAAAACGAACCGTGTTGAAACCGCCGCGTGTACGGTGCCCACTACGTATACGCGCCGCACCTGTTCCGTCGTCCCGTGCCGTCGATGTGTCGTCGCGTCCCTCCCGGGTCTCATCGAACCCTAACGCGACGTGTACGCGGGCGCAACGGGCCGCAGCACATCGTGTTCGATCCATAGCCGGTTTGACATTTTTACGGTTGGTGGTTCAACCGCAGTTAATACCACCCACCTAAAAGTCGTATTGGGTGCACCACGAACTTACCTGATTTCTACGAAATCACCGATTTTATATTACGCTGCCTTACAACCTATTTAAACGACACCCACCCCAAACTTTTTGGGCAAGTTCAGTGAACCACAACAGTCGTGATCAAGCCAGTTCGATCTACACTAGTAGTACAATCAGGCCTGTTCCATTCCCAGTGACAGCTGACGCACGAATCACGGTTCGCTCGCGCACGCGCACACTCTTGGAAGTCAGGTGCAACGAACGTTTCTGCCGAACCTAATAATCCTATTCGGAATAACTTTTCGATTTCCGTTTTTTTCCCACAAAATGTATTACGTATTCAAACACTAGACTGTGCGTTTTTTTTTTTTTTTTGTCGATTGCGATTAACAAACATACTACACAAATTATAAACACGATTACTGTATGGGAATTCGCGTGTTGGCCACGTTAAAAACGTGTGATTCGAAGACGTGAACGCGTCTTTCGCTATACCATACATGTGTGTACACGCGATATCGTGCGCGATTCATACACTCCGATAATACACGCATACACGTTTTCACCGATTGTTTGAGCGTCAAGTCGGACGGAAAACGGTTATCTAGTTGTTTCAAACTTTGACCGAACGGCACAGGTGATAAAGAATTGTGTGATTATGCAACAAAGAATCGACTCTGGAGTCATGGTCCGCTTAAAGGCCACTCGAATTCACCCCCGGGTCGTGTACGTGATTCAATTCAATATCCATCACACGTGCATGTATATGTCGGGTCTATAGAATGTTCGAGCGCGTAAAACGCTGAGTCACACGATACGGCCGCCGCCGTATATCATCATGGCGCGCACCGGCGGGGCAGCTTTCTCGACGGCCGCGATGGCCGCACTGCGAGCGATACGCGAGCGCCAACTACCTATTGCCGGGCGCCCGTGGGTGGAGAATCCGCGCGCGGGTGTTATACGACTACGTGCGCGCGCACATAACTATAGCTCGCGGTAGCGCACGCGTTACCAAAACGCGATTTATCCGGAAACTCGTCGCCGGCCCTGCAGTATCGAACCGCGGTCTAAGGAACGTTTCGGTGCTGGTCTGGGCCAGGGTTTTTTTTTCCCACGCCCTAGATTTTCCTCCGAATGTAAAACGGTACACGCGTCACAGTGTTACGATGTATTATCAAAAACCCATCTTGTTTCGAATCAAATCGATTCGACGAAATCGTGTACAACTGTTGAACAAAACGATAGCATTTAAAGTCGTTCACATCGATTCATATCCAATCCATTCGTATTATAATTATCGCATGTTAACACGACTTATCCAAGGAACAGATGAGATTTATGACAATTTTTTAGGAATCCTCCATTTCGGACGAATAATTGGGGCAGCTGTCTATATTACGAAGTATCGTAAACGAATACGTCATATTTTTACTTGATATATCGTGATATCACCGGTTTACACGTATTCGTACGTTACCGTTTCTATCATTCGGAAATATAAATGAGCTGCAGGAAGTGTTACATTTTATCGCTTTCTTCGATCTAAAGCTGAAATCCGTAACCGTTCCGCGAGAAAAGAGGTCATTGGCATAAAAACCGTAGAACGCGCATTTGTCTGTTTTCCCTCGTTTTTCAAGCGCGCGCGTTCCGTCCCGTTTCAGCGTCGTCGGCAACGACGCCATTTTTATAACGATTTTCCGAGTCTTCCGCATTTACTTCAATACATATATATATATACGTACGCAGTGGCATTATCATCATCATCACCTTATACGTGTATATATATATTGTCTACTATCCGGTGCGACGGAAAAAAAGGCGCTCAACGTAA